CTTGATGAGCGGTGTGTAGGTCCGCACCTGGGATCCGAACTTGCAAACCTTGGGCAGCTGAAGTGGAGCGTGTGAACTTAACCACTACGCCACTGGGCCAGCCCTTAAATAACTTTAAAAAGAAATGTTACAAGGATGCCAACATTGTACTGGAAGTTCTAGCCAGAGCAATCAGGCAAGAAAAAGATATAAGGCATCAAGATAGGAAAGGAAGAAGTAAAACAATCTGTATTCACAGAGGACATGATCTTATACATAAAAAAATCCTAAAGAATCCACAACAAAAAGTTATTAGAGCTAGTAAACAAATTCAGCTAAGTTGCAGGATACAAGATCACACAAAAATTAGTTGTATTTCTATATGCTAACAATATAACACTCCAAAAATGAAATTAAGAAAACAATTCCATTCACAATAGCATCAAAAGAATAAAATACTTAGGAATAAGTTTAACAAAAGAAGTGTAAAAGTTCTACACTGAAAACTACAAAATACTGCTTAAAGAAGTTAAAGAAGACCTAAATAAGTGGAAAGACATCCATGTTCATGAAGTGGAAGCCTTAATATTGTAAAGTTGGCAGTACTCCCCAAGTTGATCTATAGATTAAATGTAATTCCTATCAGACTATCAACTGGCTGATAAGAAATTGGTAAGCTGACCTTAAAATTAATATGAAAACTTATATGAATAACCAAAACAATCTTGAAACAGAAGAGGGAAGTTGGAGGATTCACACTTTCTGATTCCAAATTTCACTATAAAGCTACAGTGTAGTACTGGCATAAGGATAGATATATAGAACAATAGAATAGAATTGAGAGTCTGGAAATAAACCCACGTAGCTGTGGTCAACTTTTTTTTGTGTGTGTGTGTGTGAGGAAGATCAGCCCTGAGCTAACATCCATGCCAATCCTCCTCTTTTTGCTGAGGAAGACCAGCTCTGAGCTGACATTTATTGCCAGTCCGCCTCCTTTTTCTCCCCAAAGCCCCAGTAGATGGTTGTATGTCACGGTTGCACATCCTTCTAGTTGCTGTATGTGGGACGCGTCCTCAGCATGGCTGGACAAGCAGTGCATCGGTGCGTGCCTGGGATCCGAACCCGGGCCGCCAGTAGCGGAGCGCGCACTTAACCGCTAAGCCACGGGGCCGGCCCTCAACTAACTTTTGACGAAGGTGCAAAGACCATTTAATGGGGAAAGAATAGTCTCTTCAACAAATGATGCTGGGACAACTGCATGTTCACATGGAATAGAATGAAGTTGGACCCTTACCTCACACTGTTTACAAAAATTAACTCAAAATGGATCACAGACCTAAATCCATAAAACTCTTAGAAGAAAATGTAGGGGTAAATCTTCATGAGCTTGGATTTGTCAATAGTTTCTTACATATGACATCAGAAGTACAAGCAACAAAAGGAAAAATAAATTGGACTTGATCAAAAGTAATTTTTGTGTATCAAGGGGCTCTATCAAGAGAGTGAAAAGACAGCCCATGGGGCCGGCCCGGTGGCGCAAGTGGTTGGGTGCGCGCGCTCCGCTGCAGCAGCCCAGGGTTCACTGGTTCGGATCCTGGGCGCGCAGTGATGCACCGCTTGGCAAGCCATGCTGTGGCGGCGTCCCATATAAAGTGGAGGAAGATGGGCATGGATGTTAGCCCAGGGCCAGTCTTCCTCAGCAAAAAAAGAGGAGGATTGGCAGATGTTAGCACAGGGCTGATCTTCCTCACAAAAAAAAAAAAAGCCCACGGAATGGGAGAAAATATTTGCAAATCATATATCTGATAAGTGTCTAGTATCCAGAATATATAAAGAACTACAACTTAACAATAAAAAGACAACCCACTTAGAAAATGGACAAATAACTTAAATAGATATTTCCCCAAAGGTAAACAAATGACCAGAAAGCACATGCAGGGATGCCCAACATCATTAGTCATTAGAGAAATGCAGATCAAAACCATAATGCCATACCACTTCACACCCACTAGAATAGCTAGAGTCGAAAAAATGGGAAATAAGTATTGGTAAGGGTATGGAGAAGTTAGAACCCTTGTATACTGCTGGCAGGAATGTAACATGGTGCAGCTGTGGTGGAAAAGTTTGGTAGTTCTCAAGAATTTAAACATCAAATTACCATATGACCCAACAATTCCACTCGTAGGTATATATCCAAAAGAATTGAAAACAGGTACTCAAATTCTTGTTTAAGAATGTTCCCCGGCCGGCCTCGTGGCTTAGCGGTTAAGTGTGCGCGCTCAGCTACTGGCGGCCTGGGTTCGGATCCTGGGCGTGCACTGACGCACCGCTGCTCTGGCCATGCTGAGGCCACATCCCACATACAGCAACTAGAAGTATGTGCAACTACGACATACAACTATCTACTGGGGCTCTGGGGAAAAAAAGAAAAGAGGCAGATTGGCAATAGATGTTAGCTCAGAGCCGGTCTTCCTCAGCAAAAAGAGGAGGATTAGCATGGATGTTAGCTCAGGGCTCTCACAAAAAAAATAAAAAAATAAATTAAATAAAAAAAAATAAGAATGTTCCCAACAGCACTATTCACAATTCTCAAAAGGTGGAAAGAAACCAAGTGTCTATTATTGGATGAATGGATAAACAAATGTAGCCTATATACATACATAAAAAGGAATGAAGTACTGATACTTGCTACACATGGAGGGACCTCAAACTGTGCTTAGTGAAAGAAGCTAGACTGAAAAGGTCATGTATTATATGGTTCCCTTTATATGAAATATCCAGAATAGATAAATTCAGAGACAAAAAGCAGATTAGTGATTGTCAGGGGCTGTGGGGAGGAGGAATGGGGAGTGATTGCTAATGGGTAAGGGGTATCCTTTTAGGGTGAGGAAAATGTCTTGGAACTAGATATAGGTGATGGTTGCACAACCTCGTGAATGTACCAAATGCCACTGCACTGTCCACTTTAGAATGGTTAATGGCTCATTTTGTTAAGTGAATTTTACCTTAGAAAAAAGAAAAAATGTTGAGCTTAGTGAACACTTTTTCAATAGTGCCACGTGTTTATCATCTCACTTAATTCCGGTAACCAATTCCATGAGAGTGGGTAGATTGCCCCATATGCCACCACATTGTTCCCCAAACTGAATTCTAATTTCTTATCTATGTAGAAGTATACACTCAACAGATAGTGTTTTGAGAGGAGGTACATAGACTGTAGGTCTGATCCAGGAAAACCAACTAACCTCATATGCCTCAGTGTCCTTGTATAAAATGAAGTGGCTCGATAATTTTGTTATCCAAGAGCCTTCCTCAGTGTTAAATCAGTGCAAAGCCACACCCATGTGCTTTTTTTCCATGCCTGTCTTTTTATTGAGCCCTCTAAGAAGGCTACTGTAAAAATAGGAAATGCTAAAAGGCTCTTCTACTGTACCCCTATTAATTCTGAAGTTCTACTTGAACTCTAATGTGCCCTTCTAATCACTAGTCACACTTCTGGTGAGCAAGGACCACTTTCAGGCAGTGAAAATGGTTTAAGGTCCAAAATCAAATTGAGAGAGAGTTTAGTAACACTAATGACTATATACCCTTCAATGAGCCCTTTGCTCATTACATTATATTGTTTCCCGTTCAGCAACTGTATTAATTTCATAAAAACCCAGGGAAATCACACAGGCCCATATGATTACATGAAGTTGAAATTAGGCTGCCATTCCTAAGATTTTTTTTGTCTGGGAATAGCAGGGATTGCCAAATTCTCTAAACCTGGTTTTTTTTTTTATATTTTATTTATTTTTCCCCAAAGCCCCAGTGGATAGTTGTATGTCATAGCTGCACATCCTTCTAGTTGCTGTATGTGGGACTTGGCCTCAGCATGGCCGGAGAAGCCGTGCGTCAATGCGCGCCCAGTATCCGAACCCAGGCCTCCAGCAGCGGAGCGCATGCACCTAACCGCTAAGCCACGGGGCCGGCCCTCTAAACCTGTTTTTAAATAAAGGTGCTCCATGGGAAGTTCATGGCCTTTAGTGTCTCCCAGACCTGTGTATTAATGTGGGTATCCCCACATCTTTGATGTGTGACCCTAAAAGTTACTTAACCTCCTCCTCAGGCTTCTCCTCTACAAATAAAGAGAAATAACTGATAAATAGTAGTTCCCAATGAGGAAGCTTGCAACTATTCCTGTCATTTTAGGAAATAGGAATGCATCCCATTTGTGCAGTCCAAGTAGTTACTCCCTATCTTGGGGAAAGAGGGCCTGGTTTCGCCTAAGTTTGGGAAAACATAAAATGATTCATGTTGCTTCACATAGAGTAGAGGAATTAAAGAGCCTCATGGAAATTTACATTTCTTAGCAACAGGCTTTGTATTACTTTTACAAAAAAAAAAAAAAAAAAGCAGTTCTGTAGTTTTGTTATCCTTTTTTAGACTATTGATGTTCAATGCCACCAACATTTTTTTTTAAAAGCAATGTTTTTCTTTTTCTAGTGAGGAAGAGTACCTTGAGCTAACATCTGTTGCCAATCCTCTTTTTGCTGAGGAAGATTGGCCCTGGGCTAACATCCATGCCCATCTTCCTCACTTTATATGTGGGACACCTGGCACAGCATGGCTTGATAAGTAGTGCATAGGTCTGTGCCTAGGAACCTGTGAACCCTGGGCCACCAAAGCAGAGCGTGCAAACTTAACCACTACACCACCCGGCCGGCCCCTCAAGCGATGTTTTATTTATTTTTTGCTGAGGAAGATTCACCCTGAGCTAATACCTGTTGCCAATCTTCCCGTTTTGTATGTGAGCCACCATCACAGCATGGCCACTGATAGACGAGTAGCGTAGGTCCATGCCCGGGAACTTAACATGGGCCACCAAAGCAGAGTGCACCGAACTTGGCCACTGGGGCTGGCCTGCCACCAACATTTTTGCCTTAAGAGAACAAGTGTCAAAGGGCACACTCAACTGTGATTAAGCCATGTTATGCAGCACTAAAGAATGACAAGCAGAAATGATGATCCGGAGGCACCACTTTCTTGCTTATTGAGCAGTTTATTTGTTTTTAGTTCTAATCTAATATTGATTTTCATAAATATTCATCTCACATCTCCAATAAGGCTCCTTGAGAGCAGCACTCATATCTTATTTTTATTGTAAATTAGCACCTGGTACACAGATGTTCATCAAATATTTTACTACCTCTTGTCTAATAATTTCCCACTGGCCAATACTTCCTTAAATGTGACACACAGTTTGAAGGTTTACAGGGAAACAGACCCAGCAATATCATTGCAAAAGGGAGCTATCTTCCAATTCTTTTGATTACATGAACAAAGAGCTGTTGCTTGCTACCCCTTAACACGCTAGCCTTCCTTTCTCACAGACACAGAAACCTTCAAAAGAATGCTATTTATCTAAAATGAAATGTCTATTTTATTTCATTATACTCATTTTTTAGATAGCATCTATCTATGGCAATTTATATTGGTTTTCCATTCATGAGAGTGACATCAAGTTTTCTTTTTAAATATTTTAAGTAGAAGTAACTCAATTTAAAGAAAAAAACCCTGAAGTAATGCAGAGGTGGAACACAAATGAGGTAAAAAATTGTAAAGGTGATTCACCAAGGACTAAAGATTGGGAAACAATACCCTAGGCAAAGTGTCCTCATTATTGAGGGGCAAGTAGGTGTGCGTCCAATGGTGCAGGTGTGTCAACTTCCTCAGGCCTTTGAGAGACTTCATTGAGGTGACAGAACCAACATCACGTTAACAAGATTCTGCTACATCTTGTGAGGATCACATACTATATATATGGTCCACTACAAAAGCAAAGGCCAAAAATGAAAGCCAAAGCAAATTCTTGAAATATTAAAAAAAAAAAAAATCCTTTATAAAGCAAGATATATCTTAGTATTGAGCTGCTCCCAGACAAAATAATAATAATTAAAAAAAAAGGGCATTCAACCAGTGGCTGTATTTAACTAGCAAAATATCATCAAAATCGAATTACCCAACTTTAATTATTCCAACTGCAGTGTAAAGAGAGATGTCACAGTTGCTTGGGGGAATGTACAACTTCTGCAGCCTTCAAACCAAGGCAGAAAGCCACACAACTCTCTACAAGCTCGTGAGGTACACTTTTCTGAAGGAAATGGCTGGGTCTCTTAACCAAAATAAGTTTTCAGCATATTCCAGTAACACACACCCTAGTACTGCTTACAAACCAAAGAAAGAGCAATGCATTATATAACACATCCCTTGAAACAAGGAAAGGAGGATCATTCTGTGGGAATAACACCTTCGGACTCTGCATCAGTTTGTTCCACTTCAGCTTCCGAGGCAGCTGGGGCAGGAGTAGTGACTGTTACAGTGCTTTCTGCCTCTGCTGTCAGGGTCTCCACTTCTCCTCCGGCCTCAGCAACTTCAACTCCGGCCTTGGCAGCTTCGCTTCCAGCCTGGGCAGCTTCACCTCCAGCTTCTGCTTCAGCATTGCCCTTCTCAGACGTCATTCCACAGGATGTCTCCACTTCCAGCAGCTGTTCAGGGTGGGGACCACCAGTGGCCTCTGCCATGTCCATGGGGCCTTCCCCTTCAGCCAGCATTTCACTGTTCTCTGGGGCAGGTGCTCCTTCCCCATCTACTGCTCTCACTGCTGCTGTAATCACCTGGGCTAAGACTTCTGCAGCCACCTCCTCAGGTGTCTCTTCCTTATCCTCACTTCCTAAATTGTCATCTCCTTCAATTTCTGGATCAACGGCTTCATTGGTGAAAGGGTCTTCACCCTGGCCAAGAAGAGGAAACACAAGTCAGTGCAGTCTAAAGAACTGTCCAAATGAGAGATGGAAGAAGGCCCAGGCTGCTGGGAATTTGTGTTTTTATGATGGGCAGTATCAACAAGAGAACACTTATTTAAACTACATCAGGTAAGTTAATCCTACAGGCTCTCAGAGCCTGATTCAGAAAAGACATCTCAGAAAAGCTTGACCACAACTATTTTGCACTTTTTATTCAAACACATAACTGTGAGGAAAAGGTCAAAAGGCCTAGGATTTCTTAACCCAGTTGAAAAAAAAAAAAGCCTAACAGGAAGTTAAGACTATTTTAAATGTTAGTTTCATTTAAGCTCATAGCCGTGGCACAAGGGTTATCCCCATCTTACAGATTAAGAAATGAGACTCAAAGATCAGTAACTTGCTGGAGGTCACAAAGGTATTAAACATCGATTGGTCAGGTTTCAAACTCAAGTCTGACTCTCCCAGAAGCCCAACTTCTCACAACCATATGCTTAAACTGTTTCTAGTTTAGGTAAACTAAACATTATCACTACCAAATTAGGAAATGTGTTTTAAAATATGGTACTTAGAAGCCTGAGTCTACATCTGACTGCAGAGACTTTAGATTTGTTTAAGCCACAAAGGTAAAATATTCATCTGTCATAGGTCTTACATTGGCTATTTAAATTCTGTGCCTTCAATGGATGCAATGAATTGTCAGATACCAAAGCACTTAATAACTGTGAGGAGAGCAAACAGGTCCTGTCAGCCTACGCTGGAGCCTGACTACCAGCCCCAAAGACTGAAGTCATGGGACTGAGCATTTAGCACAATAGATCTCCCAAGGAGGAACCAGGGGCTCTTCCAACCAGACCCTTTTTGGGACTTTTTATTACCCTGCTCCCATCACTACGGCTCAGTGGTTGCGGCACCTCTTGCTCTTCCCCACCAGCCTCCATCATCCACTTCATTGTTGGCTCTGCCAGCAAAATCTCGTTTTAGTTTCTTTCCTGGACAATTATCATCTACCTTGGGTTTTTTTTTTTAAAGCACCTTACCATCATTTGCTCAGTATTTCACGGATAGATAATAAAGGTTTCTCATGGTGAGAGAGAGTCAACACCACTGCACAGATTAATCAAGCAGGACCACATCCCAGAGTTCCCAGGCAATCACCGAGTCTCAGACAATCCACAGTTATGGAATTCCTAAACCTGATACATTCCAACGTCCCTCAATTCTTCAAAAGACTCAGAAAGGCTAAATCTGCACTCTGGATACAATTTCATACTTATATAGTTCATCCTCCTTCTCAAAAGCTTTTCCCATCCATTGGACTCCTAAGCACAAACCTTGAGGTATTTTTCCAGCATCTTCACTATATGTCTGTTGTTCAAAACACTCTTAGCCACATGGAGACTTGTTTTCTTGAACTGTTCAGCAGCCAACTGCAAAAGGAACCAAATGTGGGCTTTTAAAAATGGCCCGCATCGAGGAGCAAGAGAACACAGCCAGGCTACATCAAGTTGCCCTGAGATCAGCCATATGCAGACACAACTAATATCTTTCTTCACTATGGAAAATCCCAAAATGCCAGACTCTGAGAGTGTGAGGAAGAAGGTACTAGAGAGACATCAGAACTGAGACTGAAACTGTGAAACAGTGTAGAAAAGTCTGATAAACTGAAAAGAAAAGCAGAGACACACCACTCATGTCCAGGTACCATGTGCATAAGCTAGGATGAAACAAGAGCATTTATAGATCAGAAGCTTTGTGGACTAGGTAGGGGAAAAGGGCAAGCTTTTTTTTTTTTTCCCAGTTTTTTCAGTTATATTGACTTTATAGTAAGTAAATTCAACAGCAAAAGTACCAATACTCCGACGATTTGACTGTTTTAGAACTTGACACATGCATACACTAATCTCTTGTTTATACAGTGCTTTTTGGCTGAGCTTTAATAATACTGGGAGATGGGTAGGCAGGTCTTCATAGCTCCATTTCATAGATGGGTAAACTAAGGAGAGATGCTAAACCAGGGCTCAGCAAACTAAAGCCTGCAGGCCAAATGCGGCCACATCCATTCCTTTACTTTCTGGCCTGCAAAGCCTAAAATATTTACATTTTGACCCTTTACAGAAAAACTTGCTGACCTAGAGCTAAATTTTTAGCCTCACGCCCCATCAGCTAGTAAGGACCAAACTGGTCCTTATCCCCAGGTCCCCTAGGCCACTCTGCTGTGAAGGGCCCTCAACCTCAGCTTACAGGAAATCCACAGTTTGTCAGCAACTGGGGCATTTACTTATGTGGTTTACAAGGAACATTCTCAAGCTAGGAGAATTTCAACTACTGCATTTAATCAATTCTAAGCAACATGTTTTAATAGAAACTGGGATGCATCTTAACAATCAACTGGTGAAGTGACAGACTTGATGGAATATGGCAAAAGAGCCCCTAAAGATGTTAGCATTCCCCATAAGACACAGAAGGTTCTGAACCCGCTAGCAGCCCTGCACCAGGAGTGGACTCACTCGGCGGTTGTGATTGTGGTCGACAGAGTGCAGGTGCCGCTGGAGGAGCTGGTGCTGCGCAGGGATTAGCATGTCACAAGCCAGGCAGTGAGCAGCCTCGATCTTCTTGAAGAAGTGCTCCTGGCCAATCCCTGTTGATGAAACACAAGTCTTGTGGAGTTTGGGACAGCATGCAAGCGATGCTTTCCTCCCACTCTCAACATGGCCCACATTTTCTCCCTGTAGCCCTCTCCAAGGATTTAATTAAGACAGAATCTGAGACAGGCAGTCGCCTGCCCTCCAGCAGGAGGGTGAGGTCAGAACAGCCAGCCTCTACACCTGGGAATTTTAAACTTCGACTTTTGTCATCCTTTCTAGTCCTTTCTCTTCACACCAAGGAGAAACAACTTCAGAGTGCTTAACATCACTCCGGTAAGTCACCCGTAGAGCTGGGATCCACATTAAGCAACACTTGAGGGTTTCCTTCCACTGCTAAGTGCCCCTCCCACGAGTCTTCAGGTTACGTTTTTATCAGCCCTGTGCTGGCTTTGCACCGCGTCACCTGCCTTAGTACCATATGGAACCTCACACACCCTGGGATCACAACTCACCTTTGAAAGGATCTGGCTTTGGTTTTGTGCTTTCCTTCTCCATCAATTCCTGACGCCGCTTCTCAATTTTCTTATTCCTGTTTACAATGTATTCCTAGAGGGGTTGGGAATGGCACTGAATGAAACCAGGAAATGATGGCACGTGTGGTTATTTCTCAGCTGCACCAGAGGCAGGTCACTAAGGGTGGCTGCCCAAGCCCCTAGTGGATGATGGCCTTGTCTCAGCTGCCCTGAGGATGGGAAGATGGCTATCAGAGCAGCTCTGTAGACAGAACTAGTGGGAACTATGATGGCTGGAGTTCTCAGTTGTTCCTCTGACTTGGGGACTTCTACAACTGTTATTCTGGAAATTGAAACCTTGACCAAGTGTAGGCCTCTTACTTCCCTTCCCCTTCCCTTCTCTGTGAGGGATCTGCCACCTATAGGATCATCGGGAAACACCATGATGGAGGCCAAGTGTGCCTTACCTGGAGGAACTCCACTGTCTTGTCAGGCAGTTTGGTACTTATAAACCGTAGTGTCTCTTTGTGAAATTTGCTTTGCAGATGGTTCTGGATTTCTTCGTCTTCAAAGCTACGAAACTTGCAAATGGAACAGGCAAACTGAATCCTGGAGAAAGAAGACAAAAGAAGAGCAATGATATAGGGATAACCAGTTCATCTCTGGTTAGAACTGAAATGGAAATGAGAAAGCAATTTCTGAACCAAGACTTCTGACCTCTCATGGGGCACCAGAGTAGCAGTTACTCCAAATTTCCCCATATTTTTTTTTTTTTTTAAAGATTTTATTTATTCAGTTTTTTCCCCCCAAAGCCCCAGTAGATAGTTGTACGTCATAGGTTCACATCCTTCCAGTTGCTGTACGTGGGACTCGGCCTCGCGTTGGACGGAGAAGTGTTGCCTCGGGGCGCTCCCGGGATCTGAACCCGGGCCGCCAGCATCAGAGCGCGCGCACTTAACCGCTAAGCCACGGGGCCGGCCCTAAATTTCCCCATATTAACAATGGAATACAAGTATTTCTGGCAGATGATTCATATGGCAATTTTACTACCATACCAGTGTTTCCAGCCCAAAAGCCCACAAGAGAACACCCTAAAGTGGAGACTTTTCAAAACTGTGGACTCCCTAAGGCCTCCAGCCCACTGCCCTGGAGGCCCAGCACCTAGCTCCATAGCTTCTTAGATGTATTTCTTTCTGCAGCCATGGGGTGATACAAGGCAACCCCAATTTATGTGATGGAGGAATTCCTGAAGACCTCGAACAATTCAAAACTCATATAGCCTAAGATCAATTCTCCCATGGGACTCAACGTAAAGGCACGTCATGTCAAAATCTATTGAGGTTTCTTTGTCATGTGCTTTCAAAATCTCACCAAATACAGTCAAACTATACAACAATGGAAGAGTGGCCTGCAGACCCACACGCCCCTAGAGTGGGGCACTGCTTTCCTCGGCTCTGCCAGGGTCTCAGGCCCTTCTGGGGTAAGGGCACAGGCTCTGTGGCACTCAGGATTCCTCCTCTGCCAACTCACAGTTCTGCCAATGCCTGGCTTCTGACCTCTGGACAAGCACCACAAGACACTTTTGCAGACACCCCTGACAGAGGGGTGAAGAGGAAAATGTCCCAGGCCCCATGTACAGGACTGTCAGGAAGCTACCAAAGAAACACCGAGTTCACGCTTCCCTGCTGCATTTTTACCTCCTCTGTGACAATTTTTCCAAGTCTCTTTGAGGATCCTCAGTTACAAGGGTGGAGTCTAAAGATTCCTTTAAAAATATGTCATCTCAGTTCCCACGTGGCAAGAAAATAGATCTAATCTAGGCATGCTTTATTTACCTCTTTAAAAACAAGGGTTCCCACTAATTTCTGTAACACTTAAAAGCTCCCACTTTTCGGTTCCTGGCTTTCCAGCCTTTACTGTCAGCTCTTTTGCTAAGCATTTCTTTGCACAGGAAAACCACTACCCTATTTGAGCTTTAAGGGCAAGGAGTCTCCTCAAGTCATAAAGAGAACCTGTGGTAGAGAAGCAGCCATATGTGGTCAAGGCCTTGGCAACCAAGTGCTGACATGGCCACCGGTGGTTTACGTTTCTAGTCAGCAGACAATCAGTGAACAAGGAGAGAGGCGTGTGGTGTGGTCACAGCAACACCTTTTGGGCTTCACACTCCCGCGTTTTCCTATTTAGAGACAAAATCTTGACGGTAACATCTATATGTATGTAATTGCTATGCTGAACTCCAGAGGTGGTCTGGATTTGGACAAGGCACCTGAAGCACCTTCTTTGCAGCTCTGAATGATGTTCATTTGTCTGGGATGACAGACATGAGCCAGGGGACAAGGGAACTTCCCAAAGGCCTGCAGGAGGGCATGGGAAGGCCTCAGAGATCCCCCCGGCAAGGACTTGCTTCCATGTATGTTTCCCAAGTTTTGTCTCCCACCAACCTGACTAGGATTTCCTGACAGACACCTGGAGTCACATCAAACCAAGCTCTCCTTGCATCATGGAGTGAAGATGGATGAGCTCAAGAGCCTTGACAGTGCCCAGGTCCAGCCAATCTCCCGCCTCACCTGTCAGCTGCTCTGTCTCGCATCCTGTCTCTCCTCCTTTGCTTTTCTCTTCTCTTTTTCACTTCATCATCCTCATCGTCCTTCTCTCCTGCAACAGAGAAGGCCCTTCGAGACATTCTGAGGAGCTGAGCACCAGGGCCTTGATGGGGGCTGTGGCTCAACCACCACACCCCGTGCCCTGCCACCACCTTCACACAGGGGTCAGGACACCGAGGCACCAAGGGGCTCTCAAAGGCTCCCAACAGGGATGGGCCTTTGATGGAAACCCTTGGGAGTTCCCAGGGGAGTCACCTCACTCCCCTTGTGGCCTGATAAGGCTGGGATGGGTCAGGGACACGGCCTGCCCATCCCACTCACACTGCGGGCCACCTGCTCTCTCTGTCCTTCCCTGTCCTACTTTTCCAATCCAGTGGCCTACCATTGGGCATTCTCCCAATGTCTCTTAAGGAGAGAGAAAAGCACTTCTTCCCAGATAAGGAGGCAGCAGCTAGAAGGCCTCAGAATATAAAGCAAGCCACTCTACCACCCTCCATCCCACCTCTGGGTGGACCATGACGACTGTCCCATCGGCCTCCTCTGAACTAGGGCCTCAGCAGGTCTAACGGTCCTTGCTGGCCCAAACTCTATCTTCCACTCACAAAAACTGTCAATCTAGGGCTTTCCCAGGGCTACGTGGGAAGCAATCCTACAAACAAAAGTGGGAAGAGACCAATTGGTCCTCCATCTGTTCCCTGGGGCCAGTGCAGGAGCTCCTCTGAGAGCCATGCAGCCCAGGGTCCCAGCATCAGGCCAGGCCAGGTCATGTCACGGTGGCTCAGGGCCAGGGCCAGAAACTGAAAACAGGTTGGATAAGCATCTGAACTGTAACCCCTACCCCTGATGCCAGTCACGAGACTGTCCCACGAAGATGGCGACCGGCGTGCGCTGCTCAGAAGCCTCTCAAAAGGGCGTGTGGGATTTTTGGCAAGAGGTCACTGCCTGAAACTATTACTGCTGTTTAATAGCAAAGTCATCCCGGGTAGGTAGCAGGACCTGTGCGCAATAAACATGTCACCTTTGCTTTAGCATTTACCTCGCGGCAAGAGCTGCTAAATGCTCTGTGGTCCCATGCTATAGACAGAACTGCTTCAATAAATAGGGTGGGAGGACCTCAGAGAGTTGGCTAAGCTTGAACACCTGAGAGAAGGAGCAGGGGCCAGGGGTCTTGAGAATTTATGGGAGCGGAGCCAGCCTGTGATTGTGGGGGAAACCAGCTACGAACAGACCCATGGGAAGAGGAAAAGAAACAAGTGGCTTCTGGGTAAGCTCAAGGCCACCCCGACTCAGGCTGCTTCTCCATGCCCCCCCCGAGGGGTTTAACTTTGCTCTGCTCTTGCCACTTACTTTGGATTCTCAGGTCTCTGCACTGGGACTGATGAGACCTGCTGAGCAATGATAGCCTCTGGAGGATCTGGGCTGGGTATACCTGACAGGCCTCCCCCACCCCGAGCTCCCAACCCCGGCAGGCGTCTGAACTCTGTCCCACGCAGTGATATACACTGCAGTTGCCAGTATCCCCACCACACACACAGGCTGAGAGCCTGGCCCTGGGCTGGCAACCAAGGGAACTGCGGACAGAATGAAGCCCAGAAGAAAACAGTACAGGGACCCGCACTGGCCAAGGGGGAACAGAGAAGACAGGCTGGAGGGTGCCTTTTGTTTTCTCTCTTGTGTTCTGACTCTCCCTTCCCTACCAGTGCAGGCTGTTGCAGACACCCAGAGGTGAGTTCCCCCCTTTCTGTGAAGCCTACATTGAGTGAGGCAAACAGACCCGATTCTAGCAAGTGCTGCTCCCCACACTGGAACAAAGCCTCGGGGTGAGCCGTATGGCCAAGGCCCACCCGGCAGCCACAGCCCCTCTTCTGTCCTGAGCCACCAACCCCCCCACATCCATGCCCCAAGCTTGCTCAGAAGCCCAGCCCAGCTGGGAGCCAGGCAGACACTGGAAAGTACAGGGCGATGCCTACCTCTCTGTCTCCCAGAGTCGCAGAATTCGTCCTCCTGAAAAAGGGCACATGCAAAGTCAGGCTGTGAGGTGGAGTTTCTAGAACACAACCAGCCCAGCTCCCTACCACCACCTGGCGGTCACTGTGCCACCAAGAACACAGCCCCAGCGTGTCAGGACAAGTCTCAGGGCTGTGGGATGGAGCCTGAGCATATGCTGTCATGACTCCTCGTTGCCTTCTGAGATTCTGTGAAGACTACCTTGCTTTTTTATTAAAGCCACTAACCCTCTTTCAGTTCTTTCTAAAGCTAAAGAATGGCCTCTGGCAAACGTACACCTGCATAGTACTGTATGTGGGAACGTCAGGAGCCCATCCATCAACAGAATGTCAAGAAACCCCAATTTGTAGGATGCTAATTCCAATGTTCTTTACTGAAAATAGGCTTTATCAAGTCTCCCAGCCATTTGTTTATATTTACCCAAGGTTGTAACCAATCAGGTGTAGATAAAAACGATTTCTCTAACTGAAAATCAAAACAGAGCCCATTCCTTAGGCATCGAATGAAAGACTAAATTAGCAATCAGCAGATACAGAGATTCCCGGACTCAAGATTTAAGTAAGCAAGGCAGACAGGGAGTGAGCAAGACTCTCCGAAAAGCTGAAAATTCACTCTATCTTGCCCCCTCCTCCCTTCCCCAAACCCATCTGACCATCAAGAAGCACCTGGATGAAGCCTTCACATATCCAAATTTCCAGGCCCTACCACAGACTTGGATCAGAATCTGTAGGGGTGGCAAAGGCTCACTCCCCAGGTGCTCGTGCATGGTCCTGGCTAGGAGCGGCCTTGAATGCCTGTCTCCTGTGACTAGTTGTAAGGACTGAATGACAGGGATGTAGCTTAGCACTAGCATGGAGCTGGCAGCAAACAAGTCTCCAGTGCATGTCTGAGAGCCTCAGCCCACACATTACTGTACTTACCATGTGTGCCACACAAGGACATAGGGAGGGCTGGGGATGTTTTCAGGAAGGGAAGGACTGTCACAAGGGGACAACTCTTAGAAACCTAGCTGCAAGTCAGGCTACTAAATCCTCTCACGAGGAAAAGTCAAGTATACTACACCAGCTCTTACCACCTCTGTGAGAAAGATGCTAAAAAGGAAGAAATCCCACAATACAGACAAAGGAGGTTAACCAGTAAAAATGGACTTACACCCCTGAATTCTTCGTCTCCTGACCGAAAGTCACCAGCTCCATCATCTACCAGACACAAAGGAATAGGGAGTCAGCCACTCGGCAGCTGGCCTACTTCCTGTTTTCACCCTCCCAAGCTCACTGTCCAGAGTGACAGCACTTGTCCCAACTACAATGGGGGCTATGGGTGCTTGGGCAACACATACTACCCTCGAGTTCCTGCATGTCTACTGTACAGATGGGCAGGCAGAGCACCAAGCATGCAAGTGACTCATTTTACACACACCTAAGCCTACTGGCCCCTAAGGCATACCGTTTTCGGAAACATCTCCTTCGCTGTCAGCCCGGGCCTGTTTAGCATCTGGCTCGTCATAGATCTGCAACTGCTTCCGTTTCCTGCCCATGCCATCTGGGCCAAAGCGGTCAAACCCTCTCCTCCTGGGCTACAGACACAAGCATATCTCAATGTACCGGTCACCCAGACCATTAAGATACCCCAGAGAAATGAAGAATGGAGAGGTTGTAAGATCAGAAAAGGTTTTTCAAGAAAACCAAGAATGACAACATAGTTGAAACCTCCCCCACAAAAACCGTATGCTGAGTGAAGAGCCAGACACAAAATTCGTCACACGTATTGTATGACGTCATCCATATGAAACGTCCATCCAGGACAGGCAAATCCATAAAGACAGAAAGTAGATTAGTGGTTGCCAGGGGCTGGGGGAGGGGGATGGGAAGTGACTGCTCATGGTAGAGATTTCTTTCTGGGTTGACAGAAATATTCTAAAACTAGACAGTGGTGAAAAATCACACAATTTTGTACATTTTTACTAAGTTGAATTATACACTTAAAACTCAGTGAATCTTACAGTATATAAATTTCACCTCAATAAAGCTGTTTAAAAAGAAAAGCAAAGAAAACAGGTTAGTACTTTGCAAGGGCTTACCCGATCCCTCATCCAGGTCTGGGACCGGCCACATCCATAGGGCAAAGAGTTGTCATAACCGCCCGCTCCCTGCATGCCCATCACCCCAAAGTCGGGGGCCATGGACTGAGAGAAGAGGGAAGGCGGTGGCCTACTGGGGGAGGGGCCCCCCAGGCCCCTACCACCCATGTAGTTCAGCTCTGTCCAGGGAGCAGACAGGGGCTCAGAGGAGGCCGCAGGCGGCATGAAGGGGTCGCTGCGCATGAAGGTGCTGGGGTTGCTCCGATCCTGGAAGCGGCCCTGGCCCCGACCCCGTATGAAGCCATCAAGGGATCCCCGCTCACGCGCTGGGTCCCGGCAGTCACTGTACTGACCACCAAAGCCACCATTGCGGTCAGGCCCCAGGTCAAAGTCATAGTCATAGCTGTAGCTGGGGCGGTAAGGGTTGTGCTCGGGCAGGCAAGGCCTGGAGTCATAGGACTCAAACGACTGGAAGCGGAAGGAGCTGCAAAGAAAGCACAATCCGTCATTACACTCTGAGCACCTCAAGGCCTCTGCCACGCTGACTTCCCTACCTTCAGAAGAGCAAACCAAACCACCACGGTCCCTCCTGAATGCAAAACAGACCAACAGCCCCTTTAGAAGAACATTATTGAATGAGGGACGTGGAACCCTTGGCCACACGGAGGGTCTGCTAGGCGCCTGATGCAGAAATAAGGAGTCTGGCATAGCTTAGCTGACAGCCATGCCCTAAGCCCCAGCACTCAGGAAACCAGCAAGTCCTATTACAATGTCTCTGCCCCAATGTTGGCCCAACTCATTCACTCCACGCTCAGGAGGGAGCCAGGGAAGAGGCCTCCCTGGAGGAGCAGGTGCCCACTCCCGTCTGTACAGAGCCAGGTGTGCAGGATCCCTGGAGAAGGGCTCAGGTCCATAATCACCTCTCCCGGTCCTGCATGCCCTCCCCAGTGCCGCTGCTCCCGCCCCTGCCTCCTTCCTTGGACATCATGTCCAGACGCTGGTTGATCTTGGCAATGAGGGAGTCGGAATTGTCGGTGCATGGCTCAGGGCCATAAGAAGCCATGTGTACGGCAGGGCCCCCAGCAGCCAAGCCATCGCTGGCCTTGGTGGCCTCCCACGAGGTTGGGCCATAGCTGTAGGTCGCTCCTGTGGTGACGCTGCTGTTCTGGGCACCATAAAAATTGTAGTTTTCATAACCTGCCAGAGGAAGAAAGAGCCAAGCTGGCCTTCAGCAGCCACAAGGCCAGTCCATGCTGGACACATCTGGGGAGAAGCATCCACTGCCCACAGAGAAGGAAGAGGGTTATGAGACCAAGTGCCACTGGCATCACCCCACACTGCACATATCACCTAACAAAAGGCAGGAGGAAGAGGGCAGGGGCACAGCCACAGCTCTAAGTGGTGTGTTTTCTGTACCAGATCCTAAGACTTACTCCCCATCCAAAGCCAGAGGTAGCCTGGAACCCAGGAATGAGAGCTGGGGCTGCTAACAGACACACCAAAGAGCTGATGCTCCCAGAACACAACCACAACCCCACCCCACCTCACCCCCAGCAAGCTCTCCTTGAGGCTGGCCTGGGTTCTGGCCTTCCTCAACACCTCAGGCCCAACCTGCCGATCCTTCAGGAGAGCTGTGAGCACAGCTAAGATGCGAGATGGCGGAATCCCTGCATCCCAGCTCGCCTGGGTGGCTGGTCAGAGGCCCACTTGCCCACCCATGAACCCTCAGAAGGGCCTACCTTGCCAGCTGGCCACACCAGTTCCATATGCACCTCAGAGGAAACAAAAACACACAAGAGCTTTGTTTGCAGAATGAAGGCAGCTGAGACCCCATGCTCCCAAACCCTGCCTAGATGTTGAAGGACAGTTGTCACCTCACTCCACTACCCACGGGGCCAGGGCTGCGGGTAGCTGTGGCAATGCTCATTAAGGCCAGGAAAGGCTGGGGCCCCTGAGCTGTAAAACTCTTTTCCTACAGGGCATTCAGCTAAGCACACTCAGGTCTTCTCTCCTAGGCAAGACAGATCTCTCCCATCAGGGCAACGGAAAGGACACTGCAGCCTTCCCAGGGAGCCTGTCTAGTGTGGGCCACCAGCCACATCAGGTCCCCTGGCAGAGCCCTTCTCAAGTGCCAGTTCTCACCAGGACCCAGAGCTCAGGCACCGCCAATAACATGGAGAGTACATCCAGCAGTGGAAAATCATGTCCCTAACTCAACCAAGCAAGGGAACATGATGTGTGCCAGTAACACGTGACACAGAAGGCCTCCTCCCAGGACACTCAGTAACGGGTGAAAAGTGACCCCATCCCCAACGGTGCTAGAGGGAAGTCCCAGGCTCAGTAAACAAAGGCACCCTTGTCCCAGCCCCTGAAGAGATGCTGGCAAAAAGCAGAAAACCTCATCACCTTCCAACACGCTGGGCGTCAGGATCTAGACTCAAGAGCAGGGTCAGCAAACAGGTGCTCAGGCCAAATCTAGCCCCTCGCCTGTTTTTGTATTGCCCGTAGGTTAACAATGGGTTTGACTTTTTTAAATGGATGGGGAAGAAAAAAAAATTCAAAAGAATATTTCATGACATATGAACTTTGACATAAAATGCGTCATTTATAGTTTTGTCAAAACTCATAAAACTGTACAACACAGACTGAATATTAATGTAAACCACGGATTATAGTTAACAATGCATCAACACTGATTTTTTTTATTGATGATAAATGTACCCCACAAATGCAAGATGTTAGTAGTAAGAGAAACTGTGCCAGGGTGACGGTGGGGTAAGCATATGGGACTGCTCAATCTTAAAAGTCTAAAACTACTAAAAAATAAAGTCTATTAATTGTAAAAGTCTTTGATTATGCCGTCGGCTATTTACTTAGAATAAAATAACATAAATTGTTAAAATAAAGACTATTTTATGACACGTGAAAATCATATGGTGTGTAAATTTCACTATCCATAAGTAAATAATATTGGCACACAGCCATGTCCATTTGTTTATAAATTGTCTGTGGGGGCTTCCTGCACCACAGAGACATGTGGCCTGCAAAGCGGAAAAGATTTACTACCTGGCTCTTTACAGAAAAGATTTCCCGGCCCCTGGGCTAACCCTAGTCCCCCATGCCAGCCTCTTCAGGCTACAGTCCACCATCCCCAGCACAGCATCAGGAAGGGCTCTGTCATGCTGGTGCCTTGGGTGTCAGGGAGCCCATGTCTCCCCAAAAAGCAGGTCCCACTTACCCTGGGTGTTGGCGGGTCCAGCACTCCATGCCCCGTAGCCTGTGAACAAAAGACCTCTGAGTTAGGATCCTATTTCTCATACCAGAATATGGGTGCTTCTGAAGAGCCTAAAGGCATCTCTTCAGTGCCAGCCTTACAAGAAGGCAGCACAACCACAGCACTGTCCTCCTCAACCTCATCCCACAACAGGCTGATTACATGATCACACTCCACCTGCTTGAGGTCAAAGTAGAAAAAAGAGAAGAGGGGACTGGGCTCCAGACCAGCTCTGCTCCTCACCTGCTGAGGGACCTTGGCCTAAGCCTCAATCCACAAACAACTGAGGGTGACACAGGACAAGTCGCCAGCTAGCCTGGCCTTAGGACACAGCACCCTCCCCCCCAACTGAGAAGAAACTCCAGAATTTGGAGTCAACTGTGCCTCTCCAGGCCTCGCTTCTGTGGGATCTGAACCCTCCAATGCTCCCCTGGGCCTTCAAGTCCCAGGGCATCAGCCTGGCTCTAAGCCATCAGACTGAACTCTTCTCTCTGGGGGCTACTCTCGTCCCTCCAGACCCCCCACGACAGCATCCGTCTGGCCCTCTTCATCTGTGTCCCTGGAACCTGGCAGAGCTGGGCAGAGATGGCCATCCACACCTGTCAAATGACTTCACCTTTACGAAGCAAGAATATATCCTCGCCTCCGTTACGAAAACTAGCCGAGTGCCAACTGTGTGCCAACATATGACAAGCACTCAGCACCCGTTAGTTATCATCCCCAAATACCATTCATAGATTAGAGAACTAAGGCTCAGAGGTTAGGGAACTTGATCCAAAGTCATACTGCTCAAGTTTGCCCTCTGCAGGCTACACCTTCCCACACCACACAGCTGCATCTGTGCAACAAAAAGGCAGAGTAGCTATTCTAACAGTAAGTGACCGCTTCACCGTGGGGCATTGGTCTAAGTGGCATGTGCTACTCACGCAACCTCACAATGACCCTTGAAACAGGTACTATTTACCCAGTTGTACCCAGAGGCTCAAGAGGCTGTCACGTGTCCAAGAATCTTGGAGCTGGGGAATGGAAGGAGGAGGACTTGAACCCAGGTCTAGGTGCCTCCCACCGCCAGGGAGCAATGATAAGGCTCAGCAGGTCCTGAGAAATAATTCTAGATAGAAAAGCTACAAGATTCCAGGAGGCCACAGCATCTAAACTGAGCGTGAACGGTTTTTAGCAAGTAGGAGATTGGGGGTAAAAAAAACTCTCCAAGCTAAAGCTGTGCGTGAGGCTGAAACATCTGGTGGGAAGGCAGGCAAAGAAGGGTGAGACCTAGTCAGACTGCGGAAAAGACCGGGAGAGCCAGGCTGAGCTACTCCAAGGCCCTGCAGACACCCCAGCACAGCATGCAGCTCAAGACCTCTCTGTTTTTGCTGCCTCTGACCTGCAGTTCCTGCTGCCACGATTCTGCTAACGCTCCACCTTTCAAGGTCCCCGCCTGCACTAGCTGCTGCAGCCAAGATCAGACCGCTTGCTTCTCGAACTTCAAATACCTGGATAGGGACCTGCGCCTGGTCCAGGGCCACCCTGCAAGATCCAACTGTTCTCTGTGGGCAAACTCGGTTCCCAGCACCAGCGAAGGCCTCCCAGGAAGGTCTGATTCTAGAGACAGAGGGCAGGTCGCCCGAGGTCTGTCCTGCCGCAGTCCCTGAAGCCCAAGCGGGTAAAGGGCGCGTTCCTTCTTACACAGCCCCCTGGCACCTCCAGGCCACCACAAGGGGCTGCCTAAACGAGAGCCGCCAATCTGTCACTACCCAAGGCACAGAGAATACCAGCATCTGACCCTCGGCGTTTTGTCCGAGGCCGGCGCGAGCCGGGACCCCGCAGAGACCGCCCAGGGCCCCGCCGCGCCGCACCGCCTGCTAGCAGTGAGGGCTCCCATCCCGCACGGCTTCCGAGACGGGCGCCCCGGGCCACGTGCGCCACCCGGAGACCACGCCCAGCCCCGCAGGTACCCGGACGGGCCCGACAGCCGGGGAAGACGCCGCCGCCCCAGGAGCTCGCGCCGGTGCCCCGCCCCCCGGCGCCGCCATTTTGTGGTGTCTCCGAAAGGGGAGGGCGGGCCCGCGAGCGGCGGGGTCGACGGGGTCGGCCCGCTCCTCCAGGGCTGAGCCGAAACGGCCCAGGCGTCCCACGGCGACCCCCGAGGCCCGCCGCCGCGTCCGCCTGCGAACCCCGCCCGCCCCCTCAGGCCCGGCCGGCCAATCCGCACCAAGCGTGCCGGGAGCGACGGCGCCGACGTCCAATGAGCAGCGCGCGCGCCCCGGCCGCCTCTCCCCGCGCCAGGCTGTAGTAGCCGCGCTCGGGCGTAGGCCCTGGCCTACGGTTCTCTGCGCAGCGGCGGCAGTGTCGTCCGGGTAGCGCCTGCTCTCCCCACCTCACGCAGAGCCGCCGTACAAACCTCCGTAGCCCGGCTCCATATCTTCAGCTCGGGCCGCCAGCAGCACCTTTCCCTAGGCTGCCACAAGACGCATGCGCTCAACCAACCTCCCGCCGTCCACTAGCGGAAGACCAAACGGATACGTCACTTCTCCCGCGCGCTACCATTGGCTGGCTTTCAAGGCGGGCCCACCGCTGTCACCCCGGCGGGTCTCCCGGTTGCTCGGGACCAGCGTTCACAGCAGCTTAGGAGTTTTGGTCGGGCCGCGATGCCTCACTGCGCGCAGGCGCACCCTTCCTCCTCCCCGCCTCCAGTGCGCAGGCGCACCCCACGGTTCCGCGCAGTAAGCGCTCCCAGCCCCGCCCACGGCGCCGCACACCCACAGACCAACGAGGAAGTGACAGGGGAAGAACTTTATTAGGCTCAGCTTCCGGCCTCAGCCGCGCGGGTCCCGCCCGCTCCAGGCCCGGGTCACGGGACGCCTCCGCCGCCCTCCTCGTCATCGTCGGCCTCCACGTCGAGGCCCGGAATGCCGCGGATCTGGCGCTGCAGCGCCCCGCCCAGCAGGGGCACGGCCTCCTCTTCGTCCTCAGGGGGTGGCGGCGGTGGCGGGGCCGCGGCCTCGGGGGCCGGCTCCGGGGGCATGGGAGGCTGCGCTGCCGCGCCCTCTGCACTCTGCGCGCCCCCTGCCACTTCGACCAGCGCCCCCTCATCCGGCGTGCCGCCCTCGGTCTCCTCCTGTTCCTTCTCCTCCTCGGGGCTGTCGGTGAAAGGATTCTCACCCTGCGGGGAGGGGCGCGGATGCTGAACGGAGGGAGGACCCGCGGGGCCGGGGCTGGGGGCCGGCGCGCCAGGCACCCGCACCTCACCTTCAAGTAGCGCTCCAGCTTCTTGCTGATAAGCTTGTTGTTGAGGATGCTGCGGGCCACCATGAGCGAGGACTTCTTGGACTGCTCCATCATGAGCTGCGGAGAAGGCAGGCAGGGCTGGAGAGGCTTCCCACCCCACACCCCGCCAGATTGGCGGGCCCCTCCCAAACCTGCACACCTCCACCTCGGGGGCTCAGCACTGCCAAGGATTCCAACCAGATGCATAGGTCTGTAAGTGTACCTTGGTTACAAGTGTGGGTGGGATCACTCTAAAAGCGTGGAGCCACGACCTGATTTGATCTTCGCTCAAATGCTCCATCCTTCCACACCATATTTACTGAATGTAATTGATTAAAAACATACATCTTTATAGCTGTATTTCAGAAATCTGATTTGCTTATATAAAAACTATAAGCAGTGAACAAATTAAGAAACCTACCAAATGCCAAATGTGCAACCCATAACAAGGAACCAACTGCCCTACTATGCAAGGAGCTCTTTAGGATCAACAGGGAGGACATAAAAGCAGGACTATAAATGTCAAACAGTATAAGTGATATACGTCCTTTTAATGCACAGGAATCCCACAATGAAGAATTATACCCAAAAATGGCAAAGTTGAAAAGAGACACTTCTACCCTGCTGGTGGGGGTCAACTGTTCACTTATTTTCTAGAAACAAGTTTGATAGAATGTATTGAAAGCAAAAATTTGTCTCAGTAATTCCCTCCCAGAATCTATCCTAAGTTTAAGAATTGGAAACATGCATGCGCACTGGTTGCAGTAGTGAAAAATTGGAAAGCACCTAAAATGTTCTTCAGTGGAAAAGTAGTTAAAGAAATCATACATTCAAAAGAACACCAGACAGTCCTTAAAAAAAAAAATAGGGCTCATTTGCCCCCTGGCATGATGAGAAAGGTGTGTGATGGGACAGTGTGCATAGCATGCCAGAGCCTTTTTGTCTAAGATTTCCACCGAAATGCTAGGTGATTTCCTCAGTGGTGCGAGTACAGGCAAATCTCACTTTCATTGTTATAATAACACATGTATAAAGCCATAAGCAGAAGGAAAATGATAGAGCTCTTTTTGTTGGGGTGGGGAAGTCCAAGTCCAGGACCACCACAGAACCCCAGCCAACTCTTTGTTTCATGTTTCAGAAAGCCATCTCACTTGCTGTTTCTACATTTTCTCTATTACTTGGGGAAAATATTAATAGACCTCATGCATGCTCAAAATCAAACAAGTTAAAGATGCACAATTAGGATACTAGGACAGACCATATCGTCAGCAACTTTCTCACTTGTCAACAGGCTATCCTCCTTGCTCTAAGTGCACAGATGGACACACCACAACTTCTCCCAACAGAGGCACATTTACATTGTTTCCAGATTTTTGCTACAATAACCAAACACCACTAGAATAAACTTAAATACTTCCATGCTAGTGCTTTTCATTCTACCAAACAGATTCCCAAAGTGATAGTGCCTCAGTACTCTGTAAAAGTTAAGTCAATGTACTTGTCCAGATGTTATCACTGGTGGATATGTTTGCTATAGGATGAAAGGGAAAAGAATGTATGCTGCCTCTCGTGGCACGTCCCTGCCTACCAGCAAATCTGAGTTCTCTGATATGCACACTGGGCCACCTGCCCAGTGTTTCTATGAGGTCATCTCCTCCATGACCTCTGGGTTTCCTAGCTTGCTAGCTTGCTCAGGAAGGCTTTTTGTAACTTCCAAGTAAATAAATAATCTTATAAATTTTGTTATCTTTTATTTTTCACATTTAAGATTTCTAGAATTTAATATATGGTATGAAGTAGGGGTCCAACTTTCTTTATCAGAAATTTATGAGATGAACTACTGTTCTTCCCACTGAACTGACCTACAGGTCTGTAATCCCTTACCCACAAATCTGAAATCCAGAAGGAAAAGTTTTAGGGGAAAACTCATTTGGTGGCAAAACATGAGATCTTTATTACCCCATTTAGTACAAGTCACTTGAAGAATTATTGATGGTTCAACTGCAAGGCATTTTCCCAGATCCTGTTGGGAACGTTAGTGACTGTTACCATGTAGCTGTTCTGAAATCCAAAAATTAATTCAAAAACATCTGGCCTTAGGGTTTCAGATAAGGGACCTGTACTGACTTGGACAAATACTAAGTTCCAAAACATACTGGGACCTTTCACTAGACTCTCTCTTCTGGTTCCACTGTTATCACTGTGCCAGTATCACTTTTTTGTTTTTAAATTGCAGTGTCTCTGTAAAAAGTTGTATCTGCTAACACAAGTCCCTAAACTCACTATTGCCCTTTGTAGAATTTTCTTGGCTATTGTTAGACTTAATTCTACAACATAAAACTTCAAAACAGGGGCTGGACAAGTGGCGCAGCGGTTAAGTGCACGTGCTCCACTTCAGCGGCCTGGGGTTCGCAGGTTCGGATCCCAGGTGCACACCAACACACCGCTTGTCAAGCAAGGCTGTGGCAGCGTCCCATATAAAGTAGAGGAAGACGGGCACAGATGTTAGCCTAGGGCCAGTCTTCCTCAGCAAAAAGAGGAGGATTGGCATCGGATGTTAGCTCAGGGCTGATCCTCCTCACACAAAAAAATAAATAATAATAATTAAAATTCTATGCATCCTATCACTAACACAAAAAAATTGCCCCTAATTTAAAACTTCAAAACAATTTCATCCAATCCGCCTGTCTACATTAATATGGGGAGAACTAGTCTTTGTTTTGTTTTGCTATTAAGTCTCCCATCAAGAGCACAGTATGTTCCTCCATTTATTTAAGTCTTGTTTCATACCTGGAGTTTAAGATCCTATACCTTTCTTCTTAAATCTATATTCCTAGTTACCTCATACATTTTGTGGTTATCGTGAGTAGATTTTTTCCCCATTTATGTTTCTAACTGGTTATTACTAGAATGGAGAAAAACTACTACTTTCTGTATGGATCTTGCATCCCATCCCCTTCTCAAATTCTATTAATTCTTTTTTTTTTTTTTTAATTTTTTCATTTATTTATTTATTTCCCCCAAAGCCCCAGAAGATAGTTGTATGTCATAGATGCACATCCTTCTAGTTGCTGTACGTGGGACACGGCCTCAGCATGGCCGGAGAAGCGGTGTGTCGGTGCACCCCGGGATCCGAACCCGGGCAGCCAGCAGCAGAGCACTCGCACTTAACTGCTAAGCCACAGGGCCAGCCCCTCAAATTCTATTAATTCTAAGACCATTTTGCTTGCATCATTCAGCTTTTCTAGGAATACAATCACATTATTTGCATATAAGGTTTTCATTTCCAGTATTTTATACTGATAATGTTGCCAGTTTCTTATTGAACCATCCCTGTATTCCAGACACAAACTTTACTTAGTTATAGTGTACAGTGGTTCCCCTTATCTGCAGGGGATATGTTCCAAGACCCCCAGTGGATGCCTGAAACTGCAGCTAGTACTGAACCCTTTATATACTGAGTTTTTTCCTATACATACATAGCTACAATAAACTTTAATTTATAAATTAGGCACAGTAAGAGATTAACAACAATGACTAATAATAAAATAGAACAATTATAACAATATACTGTAATGGAAGTTACCGTAGATCTTAGCAACCTCAGCATGTTTTGTTTTGTGAGGAAGATCAGCCCTGAGCTAACATCCATGCTAATCCTCCTCTTTTTGCTGAGGAAGACCGGCTCTGAGCTAACATCTATTGCCAATCGTCCTCCTTTTTTTTTCCCCCCAAAGCCCCAGTAGACAGCTGTATGTCACAGTTGCACATCCTTCTAGTTGCTATATGTGGGATGCGGCCTCAGCATGCCAGACAAGCAGTGTGTTGGTGCACGCCCGGATCCGAACCCGGGCCCCCAGTAGCAGTGCACACGCACTTAACCGCCTGCACCACCGGGCCGGCCCCATGCCTCAGCATGTTGATACCAGCTCAAGACAAGGTTGACATAAGGGAAGCCATATTGTAGAAAAGAAACCCTATTGTAACTTTGACCGACCTCTGACAAACTAACCCAGCTGGATATGCACCCTCCAGGAGATCTAACTGCTCTGTAGATTTTACGACCCCTGCTTGTGCATGTACCTCCCAACTGAGATAAGATAACTTTGTTCTTTTGAGTTCCTTAGGAATGTGATGACCCCTGAACAGAGAATCTATGCTAATAGCCATCATCAATGACAACTGAAAGATCTAATGTGGCACTCCCAATCTGTAACACCCAAGGGTTAACATTTGTAACCCCCTCCCCTATAACCCACCGGCCTATATAACTGCTGTAAGATTTTGTGCCCCTTAAGATGGTTCTTTTGGACATGAGTCAGCCATCTTCCCCCTTGCTAGCAAGCTGTAAT